TTTTTTTTGTTAAACTCGTTTAATTTTCTGTAATCAACGTCACACACGCACTTTTTATAACGAATGAATTTTTTTTTTTAAACTTATTTTTCTAATTATTATTAATCAGAGTAATTATTTAATTAATTATCAGTCACGTTAATAATTAATTTATGTGATGAAATGAAATTTTTTTCCCGGGTAACAAAAAAAAGAAAAAGAGACAAATATTTATATTTTTTTAAATAATGTATCAAAATAATGTACGACGAATAAGTGATGAAATTCCGTTATTATCATTATTATCATTGTTATTATTATTATTATTATTTTCTTATATATGTTTTTCAAATTATAAATTTATAAAAATAATTTTTCTTCCCGATACGTAAAAAAAATAAAATAAATAATAAATAAATAAATTCTTTTTTTTTGTTAACTAACGCTTTTGTTTATGTAATTAATATTATTATTATTATTATTATTATTATTATTATTATTATTAATCTGTGATCAGTTAATCATAAGCTTTAATTAATTATGTAAACGTATCAAATTTTAGATCTGAATTTTTTTTGTTATTTAAAAGTTGTAATAACGTTAATATTATATATATAAAAGAGAGAGAGAGAGAGAGAAAAATGTTAATTATTTTTTTAATAAATGAATGAAATAATAATAATAATAATAATAAATACGTATGAAATTATTAAATCGGGTTTGTTGTGTGGCTTAATACAAAATGAAATGTTTATAAAAAAATACATATATACATACATACATAAATACATAAAAAAAAAAAAATTATTTAGTATAAATTTTAAAAAAAAAATATATTTGTATATATTAATTAATTCATTCGTTGCCTTTATTATTATTATTATTGTTGTAATTTATCATTATTATTATTATTTAATCCTTGCATTATATCAAATGAATTAATTAAAATGTAAATGATGTTAATGATAATAGAGGATTATTTAATAATAAATTTAATGACAAATCGAAGGGGGGGGGGATTTATAGGAGGAGAAAAGGGAGGGAAGAGAAAGGGGGGAAAAGAAAAGAGAAGAAAAGATTTTTTTTTTTTTTGAAAACCATTATATATATATATATATATATGCATACATAAGTACATACATACATATATATATATTTATTTATTTATTTATTTTAAATAAAACTAATTTACAACATTTAAAACATAAAATACAGTCGTGTAAAAGCTCATTTAATTTAAAGCAACGATGCAGAAGGTAAACAAACAATTATCATCTTACATCTAACAAGTATAAAAGGCTTAGTCTTTAATAATAATAATAATAATAAATACACTAATAATACTAAAGCTATCATTATTATTATTATTTAATATAGAAAAAAAAAAAATTGCAGTAGTAATATAATATTGACTTCTAATTAACTCTCTTCTTTTTTTATTCATCAATAAGAACAATATATTTATATATATATATATATATATTATTAAAAAAATTATTTCAATTGAATTGAATTATTTATCATCGTAACAAATAAATAAATAATAATAATAATAATAAAAAACATAATTAAATAAATTTTGATATGTATATATATTTATTTTTTGAGCAATTAAATAGTCAATTCATTGATTTGTTTCATTTTGAATTTTTAACCGAAAAAAAAATTTTAAATAATAATAATAATAATAATAATAATACTTTTAAAACATTTCAATAAAGAAATCCATTGAAAAAAAAAATTAATAAATTTAATTGTTTTTAATTAATTTTTTTTTTATATCAAATAATTAAAAAAAAAAAAGCACATCTTAATAAGCAATGATTATTATTATTTATTTATTTATTTATTTAAAGGCTTTGCAATTATTATTGACAATCTAGTTTTAAATATTAGAAAATTAATAAATAAATAAAAAACTATTACATGTATACAAAAGTTTATATCGAGGGGGGAGGGGAAGGGAGAATATAATTTTTTATACTTTTAAAGGCCATAACAATCGCACACTTAAAGCTAATAATAATAATAATAATTTATTTATTTATTTATTGTGCATGCAACGAATGCCTAATAATCAATACATTAAGTAATTTTATTAATAAAAAAAAGAGACGAAAGGTTAAAAGGCAGGTTTTTAATAGTAGTAGCTAATATAACTAATTTTTTTAAAATCACTATAATTAATCGACATTAATTAATTAATTATTTTTCTTTATCGATAATAATAATAATAAATAAATAAATAAATAAATAATTATAAAAAAAAAAATTTGTTTTTTAAATTTTATAATTTTTAGATTGTCTTCTTATACTTATTCAAAAACCAAAATCAAAAAAAAAAAAAATTATGTATATATGTATAACCGACATTAATAAAATCTATATTTTAACATACATACATATATATATAAATAAATAAAATGAGCCTCAATTAATAATTCGATGACTCATTCTTATTTATGTATTTATTTATTTATTTAAATTAAAATATTGTATAAAATATATATATATATATATATATATATATATATGTATATAAAAGGTACAGTTTTTACTACTGCAATTATTTTAAATCATTTTCATATATATATAATCTATAATAATAATAATAATAATAATTTTTACTTCACAATTGACTAAAGTATAGTAATCTAATTCATTAAGTATTTAAAAATTTTATTATTATTATTAATAATTTGTACCCCCAAAAAAAACATAACAACAAAAATTACAAATCCATGTTTTTTAAAAAAAAAATTAATATTATTATTATAAATTATTTAAATTAAACATTTTGTAAACAAATAATAATAATAATGATAAAGATAAAATAATATATAAAGCGTTTGTTAAACATTGAAAATTTTAATAGAGTTTGTTATTAATAAATAAATAAATTAATAAAAAATTATTTAAATAAATTTTTTTTTTTTTTTTTTTTGATTACATACTAATTGAATATTTATGTTTTCATATAATATATAATATATATATATATATTTGTTTTTTTTTTAAATATTATATAATTATATATTTATATATATTTTTTGATAGTAACAATAAATAAAAAGATATTAAATTTTATCCAAAAATATTTTTTTTTATTATTACCCCATAGAATTTTTTTATTTAATTATTTTATGTTTTCTAAGATTGGATTTAAAAAAAAAAAAAATAATAATAATAATAATTACAATTTAATCCGTTATAAACATAAAAGAGAGAGAGAGAGAGAGAGAGAGAGAGAGAGAAAGAAAGAAAAAAAATTACAAATCCTATAAACATTTACCAATAAAATTTATATGTAATAATAATAATAATAATAGTAATACAGTCTGCTCTTATTTATAATACAATTTAAAGCGTTTTTTTATATGCAAACTGGGAGGGGGCAAAGGGGAAGGGGTCAAAGGGGAAGGGAAGAGAGAGAGAGAGGGGGAAGGGTAACATCATTTGCCAAATTAATTGTGCATATTATTAATATTATTAAATTAATTTTTTTTTTTTCTACTAAATAAAATAAATTTTATTTATCATTTCAATTGCAATTTTTTTTAAAAAAAATTATTATTATTATTATTATTCATTCTTGGCAACCATCAAAATTCAAAAAAAAAATTCTTACTCCAAAAAAAAATTTTTTTTTTTATTGTCTCTTTATATAATCAAATCTGTTTTTAAGGCAGATTTTCAATTACTATTCAATATTATAAATAAAATTTATTTTATTGTATACCATTTTTTTTTATACATTATTTATTTATTTTGATTACATTTTATTTTATTTTTTGTACCCGAACAATAATTATTTATTAACAAACAACCCCTGATGAAGTTAATAATTTTTTCTTTCTTTCTTTCTGATACCAGAAATTTTTTTTTTTTTTTTTTTATTGTACGTTTTTTTGCACTGCTTTTATCTCTAATCGAAAACCGATAATATTATAATACAAAACAAAAATAATAAAATCATTTTTTAAATAAATAAATAAATAAATATAAGTAAAAGTATAGAAACAACAACAACAACAGCAACAATAAAGTTTGTTTTAATAATTTATGTATATTAAATGCCTCCTTAATAAAATAACCAAATAATTAAACAAAATCAACTTTTTTTTTATATAACAACCGATAGATTTAATTATATTAATAAATTTGATATGATAATTTTAATATGATATGTTTAGTATTATTATTATTATTATTATTTCAAATTCGAAAACAATTTTCAAAAAAAAACATTAAATATATTTTTTTTTCCTCTCTTTTTAAAATTTACATTAAAGTATTTTTTTTTTTAAACTTAAGTTTAATAATATAAAATAAATAAATATTTAAAATAATAAATATATAATAAATAAATAAATAAATAAAATGGAGGCACTAAAATTACACCAGATTATTTATATTATTTATAATGATATGTAATTATTAATACTTTTCAGTTTAATTATTGATATGTATAAATTATCATCATCATCATCATGAACAGTTTGATTAATAACAAAAAAACAAATTAAAAAAAAAAAAAATTTTATCAAACTGTTCAAAAAGTCAATTGATATGTTTTGTTTCGAGAAATTCTTTATCGAAGGCAGTTAATTAATTTTTAAAAAAAATAATAATAATAATAATTATAAAAATCAGTTGGAAAAATCAGTTACAGATTTTAAACATATAATTCACATCGCGACGACGACGACGATGACGTAG